CAACCCTTCATGAGATTGACGAGTTTCTAAACCTTCGACACATATTCTATAACTCTTTCATCTTCTCCCATTGATAACAACTCATATTATCGACACAAGATTTGTAACTTGACAACCTTGACCTTCTCACCTCCTTCGTAATATTTCACCAGAATATCCCATGCCTCCTTCGCTGTTTCAGCATGAGAAATTCTGTCAAAGTTAGAAACATCGAATGCCGTCTGAATGCAATAAGAAGCCTTGCAATCTTTCTTCTTAACTTTGTTATGGGATTTTTTCTGTTCATCGGTTTCATTTTCAGCCAACGCAGGAACACCGTCGGTAACCACTTCTAAGATTTCTTGGAAGCCAAACAAGGATTGCATCAGTTTTTCCATCAAATCTAATTTTTTCCGTCAAGCATTGGAAGAGAAATCAGAATTCCCTTATTACTAGCCATCTTTGTAGCGGTTGATTCACTTATCCTGGAAACACGATCTCTGACATGAAGTTCTTAAAAAATCGACCAAGAAAAATAATCGGAAGCTCTAGATACCAATTTGTTAGCGCGTGAGACAATTTTAGCGAGAGAAAGAGAAATAATAAAGGAAATAAGGATTATATTATTTACTTAATAAATTGTATAAAATAAGGATACATACTATGACTATTTATATACAACCCTAATTAGGCTTGAGCTAACACAACTTGAATTATATTTTAATATTAAATCTAATATAATCTATTTTAATATTTCAACAAAAATGAACTAGGATAGCAACATAAAGACCAATAACTAAAAAAAAAAAGGAACAACACTAGAGAAAAGAGCCATACTGCAAAAACCCCAAACTTAAAAAGACTCTTATTAGATCTCATGCCTTCAAAATCACCATCAACATAATAAAGACCCATCAAAAAACACCAAAGTCATAGTGAAAAAGTACATGAGTTTGCCCCTGGTTTACCCAAAAATCAATTCCAAAATAGGAAAATGCTTTTTTTCATCCACCTCGATCACATTTGTTGTAGAAACAAAAAAATATTATTACTAACAATTCAAATGGTCCAAAAAATTGAGTCTCAAATCATAACAAATCTTCCTCTAATCTTAGACCTGTCACCTAAAGAAAAAAAAACTAAAAAAGAAGCCTAGGATCCTTAGAGAGAACCACTAACCACTTAAAAATAATATACCACACAATCAAAGTCAAGTCATAAGTGACAATTAAATGATAGATAAATTATATCAAACCCCCACATAAAGGATAAAAGACACTACAAGAAAATACTGTTTTAGCGTCATCTAAAAAACCCGTCGCAAACACCCTAAAGGGTTGCTAATTACTTGGAGCCGAAGCTACAATACAATTATGGTTAGTTGTGTGTACAATGTGGTGTCGGCTATAATAGACACTATTGATAATGTAGAGACGGTCTAAGACGACACAATGTTTTACAATTTAAAATTGTAGTGACTCCTAGAGCCGATGCTATGTATAAATTTTCTTAGTAACCTACTTACTAGCGTCGATTAGTAGTGACATTATAACATTTCCACCTGTCATTAGCGACGGTTTTCTGAGTAACTAAAATTATAATTATAGTCAATAGGCGTTAGTTTTTAGAGTCACTAATTTTATAATTATTTTCTATTAGCGCTGGTTTCAACCGACACTACTTTTTTTAACCTGCACCTAATTAGAATTGACACCTGATTTTAATTTCTTAAACTACCAAAACCTGGTTAGGATAAGTTTCTCTTTTTAAGAGGTAAAAACATGCTTTCATTATAGAACAAGTGGAAAACAATTTGCATAAGCTAATATTTAAGTTTATGGCTCGCAAAATCAGTCTGTCCATCTAACCAAAGATCAATGTCACAACAATTTGCTAATACTTAATTTTACGTCTTATACTAGTGCAACAAAAGTAAAGCTCAAATCATAAACTAATAAACCAAAATGACAAAAACATGGGTACATAATCACCAATTACAAATTGTCTTTGTCTTCATTTTCATCTTCATCTCCAACTCCAAAACTCCAATTCTCCAGATCATCTACAATTCAAAAAATAACAAGCTTAAAACCTAATTAAGACAAATTGAAAATATGATATATGGAATATACATGAAATAATTATAATTGGGAAAGACTGATTTAAATGTAAACTTATAGCCTTATAAGTCGAGACCATTTGTTCAATTTAGCAGTAGATAGAGTTTATCTGCTATAAATCGAGACCTAAGGGATTCCAAACTTAAAAGCACAATTCTTTGAGAATAATTTATGGAGCTTGATTCTAAATCACATCGAAGTTGTCCATTACTTAATGGAAACCAATTGAAGGGAAATGAGAATGAAAATAAATCACAAAATTATAGAAATTCTTAATCTTTAAAAATTGGAGAGAAGTGCTTATCAAATAACATAGAATCATCAACATGGAAGAATTGATGAATATGAAAAGATAAAATTTTTTAATGCATACGTTTCTACATACCGCAAGCTAATCTTCCACCAGCATTTCCAGTGCTCAAACTATGTTCATGTCCACCTCCAAAAGTATAAGCAGATGTAGATGAGACCAAAAAATCAGTTATTATTTATAAAAATCAGCTAGTAACTATTTTCAATAGGAATTATTTTCAATGTATTTCACAATCAACCCTAAAATTGAAGAAATCAACATGTAAACGAGAGGGTTAGAGATCAGAGATTACACTAGTTTACCCCTTCATTGCTAACGTCTGCATCTGTCAATGGCTCATCAGACTCGTGCTCGTAATTAGTACTAGGAGAAATAAAAGGAGCCACTTGAACTGACTGCCACATATCAAAAATTTGTTTCTTAAATACTTTAAATTTCTTTTCCAATTCTGCCATCTCTGCCTTAGCTTCGTCTGCACTCTAGTTAGATTAACAATAATCTTATGCACTTAAAAAAATCTCTCTAGAGGGGGGCCTTGTTGTACCCCAAAATTTACCCTCTTGTGGTTCATACTCTTTAGGCTTATGCTTCATCATCTTACACATCATTTATATTGCATTGACTCAATGGTATGGGATCAAAGGTTTGATTGTGTGAGTATGCACCACTCAAGAGAAGGAATTTGACCTACAAGGATTGGAGATATGAAATCTCATTATCACGAGTATCATCTCAATGCACAACACATGTTGGTTAAAGATATTTTCAGGCTATCTCATAGGAATTAGGGTTTTGGGGCATTGATCCTCATCTCCTATCTTTGTGATACCAATTAGGGTTTGATCAAGAGCCTATTGTGGTTGACTTTTTGAGTTAAAGATAACTCCATGGTCATCAATGTGTCTCAAAGTATTCATATATTATTTATTTCTCTTTATATTTCACCGGATGATCAAGATTGAATGAATAAGAGAAGATTTGAATGTGTATGTTCAAAAGTCAACAAAAGTCAAAGGTTGATCAAATGAGATTTTTGGTCAAAATTAAGGTCAAAAGCTAAAATGTGAGGAAATATGATCATTTGTTGACAAAAGTCAATGAAAGTGGTTAAAGGTGAGGTTTCTTGCAAAATAAGTCATCTTGGACTTAGAAATTTTTGCTAAGTCTTAAGGAATTTTGTGCTCATACGGACATCTTTACAACTCTCTATCTCTTTCATTTATGGTTGAAAATTTGCAAACTCATACTCAAATAAAAGAGGAAGTTACATACTATGATTTTGTCTTTGAGAAGTCATCCCTAAAAAGTGCCTAAATTTTGAGATATGGAGCTTAGAAGATGAGTGTTTTTCAACCTTTGAAGGTTAAAACACTTAGTGGAGTTTTGAGTTGGCAGCCAGGTTTAAGATGAAAACTTCATGAACACTTCTCTGAGTGATTAAGGCTTTAAATAAATAAAATTTCAACGCCAAGTTTGTTCAGCTTCTCACAGTCTACAAGTTTGTAGAAGGTTTTAGTTTTATTTGAAGTGTGGTTTGAAAGATATGGAAGAGAGAATTCATTAGCTCTTTGAGAATGCAAAAATTAATACTTAGTAGAATTTCCACATAACAAGTCAAGGTGCAATGTCATAACTTCATGGCCAGTTTACATGACGTTAGGGGCTCTATCTCAATCTTTCTCCAATATGAAAAATGAAGAGTGACATGCCAGTTTTCTAAAGCCACTAAGATGGTGTCATTTGAGAACCCAAGCTGCAAGTTACGAGCTCTTAAAGTCGGGCACTTAAAAGAGATATCAACAAGGCACCTTGGTCAGAGGGCATAATAAGGCATTTTATTGCATTTATTGATACCAAGAGTTGCAGCATACACCACCATTTTCCTTATTTGAGCATACATAAACCTTATGCATGCATATATCACTTAGACTCATACCAGAAATACGAGATATAAACTTGTTGATTAAGTTTAGGGGGCCAGCTCAACATATTTGATTCCTTTGTATTGCTCAAGATCAACAACATTAAAATGGCATCACAAGGCTAACCTGAGCTTCATATACCAACCACGTTTCTTGGATTATCAAGATTAAATCATGATTACATACTAATTAATCCATAAAACCTTGAGTATATAAGACTCTCTCACTCTATTTCACGACACACAATCAATATTCGTTGAAAAAAACTCTAACTGAATCTCAACAAACTTAAGGAACAGTTGCAACTGAATCCAGATCAAGCTTTCTCTTTCTCATCACATCATCTGCATTGATGATTCTTCCCTGGATGCTCCACCATTATCGTAGATTCTAAGCTCATCTTCTTCCTCTCTACAAGGAGCATCTTCTAGATACGTTCATCTGGTACTTGAAGCATTGAGTCCTCAACTACAACTTCATCTCTCTCAAGTCTCGAAATAGGATTTTGAAGTCGCTTCAAGACTCTCCGGTGGTTTAATTATATATCTTCATCATCGTGAAGCACTAAAGGCTATTGTTGAGTTCTCTGCATCTTTTATTCAGGCAAGTCAAGAACTCGACGGAAGTAACCTCCGTCCGGTAAATCTCTCAAAACCCTTGCATCATTCATAGATATTTCATACTAGGAATCATGTAACTTGCATCTGTGGCCCTATCCTTGGATAGGTGTGGAGTTAGATGCGAAGATAACTTATGTTCTTTAGTTTTCAGTTTGTGTATTGAATCTTGTATCAAGATTTCCCTGTAGTTAGAGTCTGTTTTAATGAAATTGGACCTCAAATTCAGATTCAGATTCAACATGCAATTTGGCTCGAGGTAGTGTCTATGGCGTCCATTTTCATGTGATGGTATTCGTCTCCAGAGGCCAAGTCCAACCGGAGAAGATGATCGGAATTTAACTCCGGCATCTCTTTTTGTTCAACGCTGCAAAGCCATAGCCCTAGGCGTGGAAATTTTTCACTAGTCCTTGCGTTAAAATTATTTCCACATCAATTTGAATTTTCGTTATTTTTTATATTATTTGTTTGGATATTATGAAAATACGTGTTGAATTATGATTGAATCTGGATGGTAGTTAATGTGACCTATTGATACAAGTTATATGAATTTATTTGTCATACATGAATAATAAAATGGATAATGAGTATGGTATGCTGGGCTCATGTATTGATTTTTTAATGGGCTTAGAGGTTATTACTTTCTCATACCGGTATATTACACATACACCACGCACTGCAATTTATTTGGGCTTAAGAGCCATTGTTTTCTGCACCCCCCAATGCAATGGGATTTTTGTGGCGCTAATTGTTTATAGTTGTAGTTGTTTTTTTTTTGGTTTGACACCCCCTAGCTCATTTGAGATAATTTTGATGCATATTTCATTTTAATTGATAAAATGATTTTCTATTCACCATAAAAATTCATGAAAATATATTTTTGATACTTGGGAGTCCAAAGTATTTTGTTACATTTTTTTCCGATTTATTTTAGTTAATGGTTGGTTAAAAATTGTAAAGTGTTATTTTGTTAAATGCTTTTGGTTTGTAACCTTTGTTTGATGGCTTGTACAAGTCCATTTTGAACCAATCTTTTTGCCATGTTTAGATCTCTAATCACTCATGGTTAGCTTGACGTTTTGGTGTTATTTTTGAAGAAGTCTTGATCATTTTAATACTTGATTTTATGATTCCTCGATGCATGCCGAAGTGGAAACATGCTATGTGCTTGATTTGAAGCTTGCACTTGTGAAATAGCTTAGGATTTTTTATGAGATGATAGTAGACACTATAACATGGTTTGTGTATTAATTCCATGATTTTTTAGATCTATTTAGATCTTTACTTGATTTTTTCTTTTGTGTTACACAAAAATGTATAGTTGTTAACTTGTTTGCCTAGTTAGGAGATGACTTCCATGTATGATTCTCAATGCTTTGATAAGTGTTTAAATTGACTTATTAACTGATATGTTAGTATGTCTAGGTAGCTTTTACCTTGATGTTTAGGTCATAATTGAGTCATATGTTAGTGAACCATAGTGTTTGGTTCATAGGATGATAATTGGATGTTTTTGACCTAATTTGGGCACCTAGTTTGCTTTGATAATGACCTTTCTTGTAATAGTTGTTTGATATAAATTCTTATGAGTATGTGTGATCGGTGGAAATAGAACTGACTATTTTGAAATGCTGGTAAGCGAAATGTCGCGGTAAGCAAGAGTCGCCACCGTCTTTTATTTTCTCCAACAAGGAAAGGACAAAAGCACAGGAAAATTCCTTTTCGAGATGTTTCTCGGTTCGGGAGGTAGATTATAGAAAGGGAAGGTGTTAGCACCCTTTCTATCCGTTGTTATCCACGGGCTCTTAGGTACTTGCTCACTATATTTTCAAAAATTGTTTGCTTTTCTTGTGTTTGTGGGTTTTGAAAAAAAATTTCGTTTTGAAAACTTCTAGGTAACTCTTGTATCAGTCCTCAAGAGTGTATGAAGTGTTTGTTTGAAAACTTTTTGAAAGTGTAGGTGCGAAAAGTTGTTTTTGTTTTTGAAAGAGCAAGTACCCAGGAGAAATCTACCTACTCAAAAGAAATTAAGCTGTGTAAATGTCCTTTAGACAGTACTATCCCACTATTGAGAAGTAGGTAGCACCGTCGTCGGAGTTATTCGGGTCAATTCAATTATAGGGACATGTATGGTCACCAAAGCAATAGTAGGACGCCTTAGTGGTAACCCTAATGTCCTAGATCCTCTTTTTTTTATCCGGGGCAACCGATTCGAGGCAACTTGGATCTTTAGACAGGAGGGTGACCTCTAAAACACCCTATACTCAATGACCACGTCGAGGCAACCAAGTGAGGCGTACCCTAGGAGTGGCATGTGCATGTGTGTCAGGATTCAATTATTTTATCTTTGCACGGGTTATTGTGAGCTACGAGTTGATTTTAATTTGCAGGCAAGTCTTGTCATGCATAGTTAACAGTTAATAATTGTGCGGAAAGTAAATTGCGGAAAGTAAATCTACGCTATTACAAGGCGTCGGGTATTTACATCGCCAAAAACATAACCCTTGAAAAGTAAATGCGAGGAAAATAAAGAAAGCGATAAAAGTCCTAATTATCTATTACATTCTCGGAGCAGATACATAAATATGATCAAAAATTAATATACGCGCAAAGAAATTGAATCGGGAAAGTCCTTAGGGTTTTGGCCCTTCTTGAGAAAAGAATGAAATTTGGTCCTTTTTTGCACTTAATTAATATTAAACCTAATTTACTAATTAATTAAATAATTACAAGAAAAAAGTATTTTTTTAGTTTTTAGGTCTTTAATGAAAATAAAATAAAATAAATTAAAAGTGTCAAAAGAAAAACTCTAATTCTAGATTGATTTTATTTATTGTGGAAAAAGTCAAAGTTAACCTAATTAACTAAATTAATTATATTTAGAATTTATTTACAAAAAATAATTAATAGTGAAATTAATAAATAATGATAATAATTAGAAAATATTGTTTTCTGAATTAATTATGAAAAATATTAATTAAGTTAATTAAATAATAATAATAATAATAATTATAATTAAAAGAAAATAAAAGAAAGGGAAAATAAAAAGAAATAATAAACCAGGGGGGTGCTAGGCCTTTTTGGAGGTTTGCTTGGCAATTCTGGGCCCATTAACACACAAGCCTTTTTTACTTTTGGAGATCATCCACGCTTGCTTTGACCAGGGAGTACCATGATCTTCATCTCTTGACCATTGGATTGCTGCTTGAAGACACATGGCATGCTGATGTTTGGAGTACATGGTGGAACGCTGTCTGAAGCCTGCATGCAATCACGTTAAGAAAAATATTATAGAGTTTTGGGTGGACCTGGGAATCGAACCCAGGTCCCAATGGTTACCAGCCAACGCACCATCCACTGAGCCAACTGAACGCCTTTGTTATTATAATGAGCAATGAATATAATATGTAAAAAATGCAATTATGCTGGAATAAAAACGCGCGCTATTTAAACCAACCAATGGTATATTAACAGCACATCATCTTCTTCGTTTGCCTGTAAAAAAACAAATAGATAGCGGGGGTTTTTAACCCCCACAACCTACATCAATGAAAAATAGCGATTAGCTCCATGCTTAACATAAATATTTCACGAGTATATCACTGTGTTCGTCTGGCCTTGACGATTCCAACCATATGCATTAGAGGTGCTAATTTTTCCTGGACAGTAAAGCCCTAATCTGGAAGCTCAAGAACCCTAAATTTCTCCAATGGTAACTTGTAATTCTGGGCATTATAATGCAATTAACCAATACCATTAGCTTCCTATGAGTTTAAGCAATACAAAACAAACACAAAATCATGTTAATGATGCATGAGATAAGCAATTCGATTCTAGAAAAAAAACGCAAACCGTTAAATTGTTCTTGATGATTTTGATAGCTTTAAGGCTTAGTTTTGATTGCAATATGTCCCTGAGAGTTCCAGCAATGTATTAGAAACCACAAAATGCTTTGACTCACGTTGGAATGTGGAAATCAGTTTTCACTTTTCTTTGATTTTTTTCAATATGCTTATGGTTTTTCTGCAGCAATTTTCACGTCCAGTGCATTAGGGTTAAGTTGTGTACTTATAGTAGAATGGAATTAGGTTAAATCTTGGCCAAGAAATCCATGGAATTGATGTTTGTATATTTGATTGAAAATCAAATATTTTTCAATCTTTTTGATTGGAAAAACTTGCCAAACTTGGAGATTCTTGTCCCCTTGATGTGCACACGAATTTGCCAGCTCTTTTAGGTCATATTTGCTTCATGAAAAGATTGAAAAACCATATCTTTGAATTTCCTACAATTTAAATTAATTAAATGAATTAAAATTGATTAAAAATTCAAATAATTAATAAAAAATAAGAAAATAAATCAATTTAAGCTTAATGGGTCGTGCATAGGCCTTGGATAAAGTTTCAAGAAGAAATTTGAGGCCCATTAGCAAAAACAAGGTATTTTGAGCAAAGTTGACTTTTGCAAATTCATAAAAATTTCCCAACTTCTCCAATGCATATCTTGCTCAATTTTGATCCTATGAACATGTTCTTGGACATTTTGGAAAGGTCTTGAAGTCCTATAACCAATGCCTTTGGTCCCATGTCATTTGGATTTACCAATCTCAAGTTATGGTCTTTGACTTAAAGTGCATTTTTGTTGACTTTTGAAATTGACCTATAATGTAGAAATTGATAACTTTTTGTGAGAGAATTTCTTGGACTTGGAATGTGAAGATGAGTTTTAGGAAATGTCATCCCCTTAAAAATGAGCATTGGATGGGATTTTTCTGATGAACCATGAAAAAGTTATGCCCTGGTCAAGATACAATTGACTTTTCTGCTGTCCAAAAATAGTAACTTTTGCATCTTTGATGATTTTTGAGCCATGCTTGTGGAATCATGATCAAGACTTGATCAAATGATGATTGTGAGCTCAAAATAAGATGTGGACCAAAAATTCTGACTTTTGACTGCAAAATGACCATTTTACCCCTGTAGTTGATTGTGAAGCAAATGAAGCTTTTGACTGTGCAAACTGGCATTGTGAGTCTTGAAACTTGACATGTAGATGCTTGACAATACATATAGGCCTATGGAACTTGATTGGACCATTGAAAACCTCAAATTCCTTGAAAGAAACAAAACCCTAATTTTGACTGGCTTAGGAAGTGTTTGGACTGTACAATCTTTGAGCAAATCTTGAACCAATTGGAGATGATTCTTGATAAACCTTGAAGAATATGGGAGAGAAAATTTTGGG